TTTAAATTTCTGTTTCAAAAAAGCTTTTTTCACCACTGGAAAAAAAATCATGAGTTTGACATAATAGCATGCATGGGATGGTTGTGGGAGAGGCTGTACTTCAAACTGTCTGGGATAACTGACATCCACATCAGCCCCTTCAAGAGAAGGCAACACTTAACAGGAGGTAAGAGTCTCAAGCAGAACAGGGTTGTATTAGAATCACAACTAGAAAAAGAAGAATGGACAAGAGGAGAATGATAAATTGTCATCTAAACTTAAAACAAAGGCTCCAGAGGTAAACAAATAGCAAGGAGATGGCTTATTCCAACCATCTGATCACATGGACTTCTTGAGAAAAGGAAACTTTATAGGTGGGAAAAGGACTTAATAACAAGTGTGGCTTGACCAGAACAGGTGTTCAGTCTGTGAATCTGAGTGGGAGTCAGGCATGACATAACGTTATATAGACTTTCGCTTGCCAATGAGATTCGACAAAGGTTTCATGGATAGAGATTTTGGATCTACATACTGACATTTCTTCTGAGTCTTATGGAAGAAAAATCCTTTCATGAATTATATCCTATTTCAACATCCCTATCTCCCTTTACAGAACTACAATTACGTCATTATCTTCAGAGATTAGTAACAGCTAGCCTGTATCCCATTTGAAATACCATTAAAGCACTAAATAGCAGGAAACTAACACTCATCTGGAGCAGAGCATTCAGCTGTGTAAAAGCCAGAAAACATGGATCTATCTTTCTCACTCCAATCCCATTTACGAGAACAGTGCTTACTCCCTCCAGCCTCAACAGCTGTGTGACTGGAATTCTCTTTTTGCCATAGTCTGGGAAAGTGATAAAAGTCCTGGGAAAATCCATAAAGTGCTGTATTCAGTTCAGACTGAGAAGAAAAATGAAATTATCAAACAGAATTTAAGGGACAGGATTTCCCTTCTCCCAACCTAGGTAGGACATAATTTATAGACTTGCAGCAGTTTCTTCCCACCACTCTTCTGAAATATGACAGATTAACTTTTGCGGATAATTTTTCCACTTCTCAAATGAAGGCATGAAGACAAAGTAATTTGCATGTGTCAAATTTGTGTACTATGTTATCAAACTAAAACTGACAAGAGAGGTTTGGTGGCTAGCTTTCCTGCTGGACATAAAGCACCTCACTGAATCCACTGAGGAAAGAGGCAAAAATGTTGAAGACTATCTCACTGATATCTCATAATGCACTCTATGTAGTATTGGTTCATAAAGCACATAAATAAAACATCTAGAATATTTGTGGTCACATACAAATTTTTCAGACTGCTGCCAACATTTCAGCACTAACACTGATCTTGTTATGCTGTGAGTAAGAATGCATTCTACAGACATGGAAACCTCAGGATGCCTAGGAGCCAGTTTATTAAATTAGGATCAAGAAACACCCACCATGTAGGGAAGGCCATCACATTTTGTGATGACAAAGGGCTGTACAGAAACTACCAGCAGTTCACTGCAGAAATTCTGAGCCAAAAGTCCATCTAGATCTCCCTATTTAATATTTACCAACGAAACTGTATTTCACGAAGTTGCTGCATTGTTTTTTTCTCCCACTCACAATTAAGGCCTCCACAGCATCTCATGCTCTATAGCATGACTTCTACAATTTCCACCTTCACTGAAAAAAAATCCCAAGCCCCTCCTTCATGTTAAACTCTGTTCTGTGATCATTTCCCATATGAGAAACAAAAATAGGGGTTTTATATTAAACTTTCATGCTAATTGTTCTAGTCCACCAGCTGCTTCCCCTGTCCACCCACCCATCCACCCCCCAGGATGAAGAAATTTTATTTACTTAGATTCTCTTCAAACAATCACCACTTCGTGCCTCTGACCACAGGGGATGCTTTACCAGCTTGGGTAGCACTCAAGATATGGGTGCACCATGAGTGCACTACTGTAGCCTTGAAGTCTTTAAATTGGTCCTAAATTCCCTCTTTTCACAGTCTCCAAGATTCTGTTTCTCTTTTTAAAGACACCAGCCCCGAGACAATGTTTGCAGACTCACAATGATTCTCAAATCAAGCATCAACATGTATATGCACAGTCATGGCTTCACTCAGCTTCACGATTACCATCATTTTGAATTCATCAGCCCTGACTTTCATCTGAATTTATTGCCTCAATTCCTATTATGGGATCCCTTTCTCTTTAATTGAGAGGCCTATAGCATCATCTCTTGTGTCTGAGCTAGACATCTTAATTCCTTTTATATCCATAATGTCTTTCAGACGGCATTCAGAATAGGACAGATGACTCACATCACTAAAATACTTATGTCTCTCCAGCGACTCTCTGAAGTGAATCTAAAGAATTGGTTCAGATATGTTTCACAAGGTTAGAAAAATCCCAGCTTTGTAGTTTGAAATTCTACAATTTACAGTGACCTCTACTTTTGACAGTCCTGTATAATTATGTAACCATAACCAATTCTCAGGTCATAAAGTACCTCTTCCTCCAGATGGTTTATGTATATGTTGAACAGAAGAAATCCCTGATGAATCCACTGGCAACCTTCTTTTATAATAAAAATTAACCATTTACTCCTGCCCTCTGTTTTCTCTCTAAATATTTATATTTGCCATCTTCTGTTCCTCAGAATGAATAAAGATTTCACTCAGCACTTCATAGTTCAGCATGTTACTCCTGACTTCCTTCAGACCACTTAAGTGAGGATCATATGGTTTTAGTCATTGGTTATTCTTAATCTCAACTTCAAGTTTCATTTAAAAATCATTAATTTCTATAAATTTGAACTAAAATTTGTTTTAGTGACACTGCTAACTTCAGACAGATTTTCACTCATTCCCTGTAAAAAAGGTTCATGCAAATAATTCATTAGCCCTTCTAGCATGAACTTATCTTTCCTAAATGCTCTAATTATACCTTGATCAGTTCTTTCAACATCACATTC